TCATTTGAATCTAATGAGTAAAATGGAATTTATGGATTTTCAATCAATGAGAATTTCATAGAGTTCCGCTCCTTTTTGATTATTTTGTTTTTGTTCAAATCTTAGTGTCAAAAGATTTTCAAAAGTAACAAGTGTCGATTTTTGTTGTTTCTCGAGTTTATACTTTGAGAATGAAACGAATTAGTGGATCTTCCTATCATTGGGCTTTCCATGATTCTTAACTTGAGTTTCAAACTTCTTTATCCTTTGATGAAGAATGAATTTTAATGATATCAATTTTGGTATCAAATGTTTAAAGGGCTTTGAAGTTGAATTGTGCCAACTTTAAGGGTTGAAGTGTTTGACTTGTGTTTAAAACCTTAATTTTCGAGAGTTGAATCGAGAATTGAATGAAGTTTACTAAAGATTTTCTTATAACAAGAAATCTTATAGGCTTTGAGATATGTTCTTGAAGTTTACATATTTGGTCTTTGGAAAATTTGATTTTCAATTGGTCACGAACGAAGATGACCTTGTTGAGTCATTAAGTTGTATGAATGGTTTGTGATAAATTGAGTATTATGAAACAAACATCATAGTTGAACGAGGAACTTTAAATTCCAACTTCATTATACTTATGGTGGTGTTCTTGTTACTTTATTTGTCATATATTGTTTGGTAAAAAAAAAAGTGATTTTTGTTTTCCACATACAATTTAGAAAGTGGTTTTTAGAAAGTATTCTAAAAGTTGTTGGACATTTTGGAAAGTGGTAATTTCTAAGTTTCTTTTTTTTTAAAGTGACTCAAAAGTAATTTTTCAAATTTTAACTATGTGGTAAAAGTTAAATATCGAATTTTTGCTGAATTAATGCATGTGTGTGCATGTGTTTTATGTGGAGTTTTAAGCCTAGTTGGTTTTGAATTTTAGAGTCATAGTATAGCCGAATTTTTAAGCTAAAAATTAGGGTTTCCTAGTCCTAGTTAAACTTAAATTTTGGTTGTCGATTTGTGTTACACTTTGAGACCTAGTCGGTCTTGTATTTGTGTGTTCACATGGCAGAAAATTTTATCCCTAAAATTAAGGTTATTGAGTCCAAATTATGTTATGATTTGAGACCTATTCGGTCTTAGATTTTAGTGTTCACATTGGCCAAAATTTTTCAGCCTTTGTTTCCTAATGGTAATACAATTTTATTGTGTGTTTTACTTGAGTCCTACTTGGATTTAAATACTAATTTTTGCATGAGTTAAATTATAATTTCAGTGAGATTATAATAAGAGTTTTATAGTGAGTCTAATTTCGATAACTATTGAGATAAGGAAGTCTTATCTTAATCTAAAAATTTTTGAGTCTTTTAATACAATTGTGCTTGTGTGTTGGCCGAGTTTTTGAGTCCTATTTGTAGTAGGGGGTCGGATTTTTGTCTCTAATTAGTAGGGATGAATCTTTCATTGTTTTATGACATAGTTCATAAGTTGTGTTCAAAAGGGATTATGATTACCTAAGTTTTAGGACTCTATCCTTGTATATATATATGTTGGCCGAATTTCCTCCTTTTTATTCCATCTTTCGACTGAAATTTTATCAATTAAAGGGGGAATATTTTTGAGAAATTTAGGTCCTATCTTGTAGGAGTTTTCTTGCACAAAAAGACTTGCATTGCCTATAAATAGGGGTGTTGTTTTTCGAAAATTCTCACACTACTCTACTCCATTCTTCTTCTTCTTCTTGCTGCCGAGATCACAAGGGTATAAACAAGAGAAGCATTCTTCTCTTTATTCTGAATTTTTGAGAGTTAGTGTTCTTAAAAGCACAAGAGAGTTTTTGGTTTTGAGGAGAGCATTATTCGAACCTTCCTTTGGTTCTTGGGGGGTTTCGGCCGAGCCATCTATTGGTTCAAGGGTTCAAGGAGTTTTTTTGTAGTCACAAAGGCACATTACTTCTTTTGTTGGTAGTTTCTCAGAGTTTGTTGAGCAAAGATGTCATCCAGAATTGCTGGTTGTAGTCAAGTTGCTTCAAAGAGTGTAGAGGGTCACATGGAGGCTCAAGTGCAGCTCATGAAGAGTTAAATTGACTACTTGTATGAAGCATTGGCCGAGGTGAAGGAGGCAAACCGAGACTTGTCTCAATTGCTTTCAAATCAGCAAGATAAAGCTACGGTAAGTTTTGAGAAAATTGCTGAAAATTTAAGAGTCTCATGTGATCGTTTTGAAGTAAAACAAGTACCCTCGTATGCTGGAATGTTGAAAGTGTCATGGCCTTTATTTTATGGTTGCCATAGAGACTATGATACTTAGGAAAAGAGCATAGAGAATTTGTTTGTATTGCTTGACATTGAGAAAGAGAGTGAGAAAATAGCCTTAGTTATAGGTTGCTTTTGATCTAGTGCTTTGAATTGGTGGAAGCTAGTTTCAAATAACTATTCACATCATTGGTATCATAATTTGGATGATTGGCATGATTTGAGGAATGCTTTGTGCTGGTACTAACACCTTTGATGAAGCAAAAGTGAAGTTGCTCAATTGTAAGCAGAATGGTAGATCCGTTCAATCTTACTTTGAGGAGTTAGAAGGCGTGTTCTTGAGTTCGGGTGTGGATGAGAACGACTACATGTTGATTGATCGTTTCCACTATGGCTTGGACAAGGGGTATAAACAATATCCAAAGATAAGGAGGCAATCAAGGCTCTATAAGGCATACTACGCTGCCTTAGAAGTGGAGAGAGAGCATGATACTTCTCGTGGTTGGAATGGTCCAATTGAGGATCAAGGGTTGGTGTTTGGCGCTGAAGATGGTGATCAACGGACATGTATCTTCCGTACCAAGTGTTCGGTTGGGTGGTCCAATGAAGTTAATTTGGTAATCGATGGTGGATCAAGTACTGATTGTATAAGTGAGGAATTTTGCATAGCAAACGGAATCAAGATGGATCCGCATACTATACCATACAAGCTTCAATGGTTGAGTGAAGAGATGGTTGTGGGTGTCACTAAGAAGGCCATGGTATCTTTCCAAGTTGGTGAGTATAGGGATGAAATTTACTTTGATGTAATTCCTATATCTCTTTGTGATATTTTGCTAGGTAGGCCTTGGCAATCAGATGTAGATGTTGTGCACCATTGCTCGAAAAATATTTTTATCTTTACTAAAGAGGACATGAAATATATTCTTAAGCCTTTGGCTTATGAATAAGCTGAATCTGTACGAGAGAAAAGACATAAGATAACCTAAACACAAGGAAGAGAAAAATTCGAGAGAGTGACGCAAGAAAGTAAAAAGGGTCACGCTGAGATAAGACTTGAGGCGAGAGAAAACAATGAAAATAGCGTGGAAACAGAAAAAGATGCACGCAATGAGAGAAAATCAGAGTGTGGTGAGGGTGAGGATTTTACTAACCCTTATATCTCGTTTGTTCCTTGTGCAGGTTTAGAGGTTGATGATTCGAGGACGAATCCTCTTAAAGAAGGAGGGGATGATGAGAATCATATAGCCTTCCATGGTGGTTCTCCTAGTGAGGGGAATGAGCTAGTCCTTCATTCTAGTTTTGGGATGCCAAGTTTACTTTGTAGACCAATCAAAGAAGAAAGGATGGATCTTGAGTACCTATGTGATTGGGAGTTGGTTCAAGAGAGCTATGATCAAGTTGAGGAGAATGTCATTAACTTTGGGGTTCAAACCAAAGGAGATGATTCACTCATGGAAATAAGTGCTCAAGAGTATTAAAGGAGTTTGACTCTAAGTGTTCCATGAAGATCATTGATCAAGCTAGAGAAAGAGTCATTTAGGTTCTTGAATGGACGGCCTATTTGATAAAAGTGTCCAAGATTGAGTCCATTGCTATAGAATTGGATAGGGTGCAAACTATTTCAATTGTTTTAAGTGTTTTTCCAATCTTTTGGAGTCAATAAAGAGAATTCTACAAGTTTTGCAGTAAATTGGAGTTTTCTACAACTTAAGGGGTGCAAGACGAATATTCCACTTTTGGAAGGGCGTTCAAGACATTTTACTTCAATATTTGGAGCTGAATTTCGAGAATTAGAATATTATCTAGTCTAGGAGTTTAATTTTCGAATTTTATCTAGTTAAATAAGTAATGTGGACTGAATTAAGCTAGAGTGTTTTGATTAGGAGTCTTAGATTCTTTCTAAATGTTATCCTATTTTAGGATAAGTCATTTAGATAAGGTTTCCTAGATTTTAGATAGAGTCAAAGAGATCAAATACTCTTCTACTTCTACTCCTACGTGAGATAAGATTAGAGAGTCCTAGTTGGTCTTCTTTTTTTTGGTGCTTTGGCTGAAATTGCTAGCCTATAAATAGGGGGGGTATGGCCAAAAGTTAAAGCACCCATGTGTGGTCATTTTGAGTCTTCACTAATGAGAGTTTTTCCTGTGAGGAATTTTTGTTAAATGGTGTATCCATTTTTCGTGTCAAGTATGATTTAACCAAGAGGGTTTTCATCTTGTCTTGGATCTTTGGATCTTGCAGAAACCGTTCTTTTTCAATTATGCTTCTTGATAGAATTGTTTTAAAACTAAACTTCTTCTTTTCATACTACTTCTAGTAGTTCGAGTGTTGTGCCTTTGTTTGGCTATGGTTTTCGGATTCATGATGTGTGTGTTTATGAGTTCCTTTGTGGGGTTTGTCCTACTTTTTGTTGGATGAGTTGTGCTTTGGCTGAGTAGTGTATGTGTTGCATATCTTTGTTGGTTATGGAGATTACTAATCAAACCTTCATAGTTGAGCATTGTTTGCTCCTGCCTTTCTTGAGTCTCTTGAATGATGACTGATCGAGTATATTGAATGGTGTCCTTACTATTCTTAGTGTGGGTTGTTGTTTAATTCGAATCTTTCATAGACAATGTGTTCTTTGCTTGGTTTGAGTTAAGAGCTATAAATCCTTAGATAAATGATCGTCCTACTGTGAATTTTCCGTACTCTTTTGAGTTTCACAGGATAAACAACTACTTTCTTGTTTGATGGTTGTTTTAACGAAATTTGCTTCATCTACGAGATTGCTATCATATTGGATCAAGTCCAGTTTTCACTAGAATGACATTCTGGTATTTCAATGGGTCAGACCTAGTTTCTCTCCCCATAGGAGTCATTTGACCAAAGTCAAACACCATTCCCTCGCTATTCTGAACTACCTCTGCACCAGAATTAGGTGATATATTCTCTTCTCCTTTACCCTTCCGTGCATCCCTTACTTCACACCATTCCTCATCCACCAGGCCATGCCCAGCTTTAGTACTCACTCCCCTACCCTTGCTATTAGGTCCAGACTTTACTAGCCAAGAGTTTCCACCCCCTAGGCTCACTTGCCGCAATTCCTTTCTCCCTGTTGTTGAAACATCTAATCTAGCTGGCCCACGGACTGCCTCTTTTCTACCCCCTGATTGCGCTCCCATATCAAGATTCAAAGTTTCTTCATTATTAGCAGTAGCCAACACATCAAAATAAGTCCTAAATTTCTGATAACTACCCGTATTTTTAGCAACCTTATCAGCTTCCCCCTTATCCCCCCTGGATGGAACCCTTTCTTTCGGGGGCACTTGCATCCATTCACCATAGCCCACCTTCGGTACCGATGGTGTCTTTGATGGCACAGCTCCACCACCGTTTGTTGCTACATCTGCCTTCGCACTACCAGTTCCCGACTGATTATCCGTATGTAGTGTATCCGTACGTCGTATTTCTTTTTTTTTTTAATTTCCATTTGTCATAACCTCATCAAAAATAAAACCATAAGATATAGTAGTTAACATTTCCAAATTTCTATTTCAAATAATTAGGCTGAATCATTCCCGAAATACATAACACATTGATTCCAAATCCGACAGATTTGATAATTGATTTAAGTAATAACAAATCTCACACATCCTATAACCATTAATATATGCATTCACTATGAAATTCCAACAAATAATGGATAAGTAACATTAAAGTAATATTTACGAATTAATGTATTGGGATATTAACGAATAGGATTTTCTGATTTTCCATAGATCATTTAATCCCCCAACATATTAGGGCTCCTCTATAAATACAGATGGAACCAATTTGCAAAACACACGTTAATTAATCGACCCCTAGACCTCTATAACATCATTTTTCTTATAAATTCCATCCCCACTATGAAAACCACTAAGAGCTATAATCGCACGATGAGATCCATTTTAGCAGTACTTATTATGATCATTCTCTTGTGTGTTCCGGCCGCTCAATCCGCCCGTCTACATGGGCCGTTGGACTTCTATCTCGTCCACATAGTGAACAAGCTATCAAGTATCAACCGACGACCCACCTCTTGAGTTTGGTGTCAATCCGGGGACCACAATCTAGGGTACTACTTCACTGTTAGGAATGAAGACTGCAACTGGAGTTTTAGTGTTAATTTTCGTGGTACAGCATTGTACTTTTGCCATTTTTACTGGAAAGATAAGGATGCTGTGTTTGATGTATTTAATCGCCGAATCGGTAGGGCGATTGGTGAAATGGGTGGTTATTTTTTGTGGGAAGTCAGAGACGATGGCTTCTACTTTTCTACAACTGATAATCCTTCGTCGAGTAGCTTACTAAAATGCATGTTTGGTGATGTCTAGCTTTACCACATTTGATAATTGTATGGGTTTTTTTTCTGATAATTGTATGGGCTTTATTCAAAAGGTTATATATATAATAAAATCTTGATTCTTAATTCTTTTCTTAGTTGCATTTTTGTTCTCTTGAATCCATACTATACGGTCTATATAATGAACAAGAAACTCATTCAATCCTATGCGCGCCCACATTAACTTGGAATAAATTCCTACAGAAATCTTAAATTTAAAAAAATAAAAAAATAAAAAAATCAGGTATGTGCCTTTCTATCAGGTGACTCAATTTCTATTTCCCTACGCTCCATTATCTTCTTTTTGTTTCTTTTGTTTTTTTTTCTTTATTAGGATTAAGAATTCATAATAGGAATATAAAATATGTCTATTGAGAAACCACTTTTACCTACGAACATAGAAATGTTGTCGAAGTCATCAGTACTAAGAAATCCTGCATGGCTGTATTACTTCAAGGAAGTCAATAATTTTGATTTATTTCTTAGTACGTTTCTTGGAAGATTTTATTCAGTAATATATTTTGGATACCAAACAGGAATGAGGCTTACTTTGTTGAATATCTGGAAGGCGTAGGGATAATCCCCCGGCCACTTTATACTGCATATCAGGCATTTCCAGTGTCTTCCTTGTTGGAATTCTACTTCAAGAATAGTGGACAACAATGGCTGCACTAGATCAAAGAACAAGAGGAAGAATTTATGTTTAGGACAAAAAGAATTTTTGTCTCCAAGTCACAAGTTAACTTGCTTCCTTTTAGGCTAAATTCGCTCACTATACAGTGCAATTGTCTAGATGAATTCCCTATGAAATAAAATAGAGATCATGTTGTTTCACTATGCACTTTAGTAAACCAACAACCTGATACAAGGATAAGAAATGTCATTGTAAATATTCCAAGTATTTAGTGATTTCATTTTACACTAAAAGTATCCAAATGATCCATATTTATAGAGTTAGAGAAAACTCTTGAGAATTATACGTAACCCTTGGTTATGGTCCTAGACGTAACTTTTCTTTAATGTCTTTTCATATGGAGTCCATAGGCACAACCTATTAGTTGTGTCTCTACAATATACTGAAAATACCCAATAGGCACAGCATATTAATTGTGTCTCTACAATATATTGAAAATAACTCCAACAACCCCTCCCCCCCCATTTTCAATATATTGAAATTGATTTTTAAATAGATCCAGAATAATTCCCGCAAAACCCATGCATAAAATAATGGTGTCGTTAGACTTGAACCACTACCTTAGTGTCAGTTTCACAACTTGTAGTACAACCCGGTAGACTAGCTTTGAATCGTGCGTACATGTTGCAAGTCACTATTGTCAACACATATAGGTTTCTTTCTCCTCAACTTGCCTGCACCTTACCAGTGCATATGGTACATAAGGTCTTGTACCCATATCTCTTCATGAATGTTAACAAAGCCAAGTTCCAAGCTTTGTGGATGCCCAGTCCAATATTCATATAGGCAAACTTCTTAACGTTCCCGCCATTTTGGCATTTACAAGAGTTTGTTAAGAGTCAATTCGCAACCTGATACCCAGTGAGAAACATACAGCACTAACTACTTTTGGGATAAATATTGTAATGCTCAATTACTTGTACATTGTACTATCGCTCATTGAATTCAAGACTAGAGTATTTACTAGTGTTGAATTGAGGTTTCAATGCAAGTAATCATTTCTGGACTTTACACATATCCCTTTAAGTCATTCAGTCTTTAGACCAAATGTCTTTCAATATTTAGTCCTTACTTATGAGTTTGTTAACTCAAATTTTAAGGATCATCTCTTCACACGAGTCTATTGACTCAAATCTTGTTAAGAATTTTAATTCTTAACATGAGTTCATTAACTCATCTTGTGATCACAATTTAAATAATAATGCATGCAAACTGTTAATTAATATGATCATATTTAGGAAATTGAAGAACCAGTCTGTTCTTTCAAACTTCGCAATCAACCCAACAATGAAATCATCTTCCCTAATATGAAGTTTTGAAATCACCACGTCACGATTTCTTTATTCATATTCCTGGAAAAATTAGCTCCATTTCTCTTGTTATAAGCATTTTACACTTGAGCTCTTAGTATCATTCTTTGTTACAATATGGTAGCTTTCCTAATACTTGATTCATTGTTATTTTAGTTGATATGATTTCGAGCATGGACTTGATGCTTTGTCCATTTTCCACAATGTGGACTTAGGTCAAGGATCATTCTCCTTTTTAACTTTAATAGAGAATTTTTCATTCTCTTCAAACTCTTTTATTATATATAAAGAGTTCCAAGTTTCCAAACATATAATCTCCTTTTTTCTTTGAGATCTCATGGAAACTTTAAAGTATTGACATAAACAACTCAAACATATAGTAAGACATGAATTTCAAATCATATATTAACACATATGATATAAATTCATAACTATATCACTATTGTCATAATATGTATCACATGAAATTATCATATGAATTGCAAATTCATTTATGCAGTTAAATATTCCATGTAACAAACACAAATACATGAAATAGCACTTTATTGGGATCAAAGTTCTTTATTTGATTAACCCAAAATCAAATAATTAATATGTGATGCACTCACAAAATTTTGCACACAAGAATTTATTTTATTTTATTTGGATTTTCTTAGGTTTCGGTCGTTGACTTTTCTGTCGACTTTATCCAGGCAACGACTAAGTCGACGAGGCCAAACAACGAAACATTTTAACGGATGTTGACTTTTCTATCAACTTTAATTCTATGGACAAACAAGTCGACAAAGCCAAATAATCAGACATATGAACAAACGAAAACTTCTATGTCAACTTTACTCTAGTCGACCAACAAGTTGACAAAGCCAAACAAAACACCGAATAAATTCCAGCAGATTTTGACTTTATAAAAATTTATAACATGCACTCAAAGCACTATTGCTACATCAAATGCCAATTTTGCATTTCCATGTCAAAGCATGATAAAAACATGACCAAATTCTCCACCAAACCTTTTATGACATACATTTTCTTAATTAATCATCACATTAATTAAGTATTTTATTCTGATAGAAACCACACATTTGGACAATCAACAAATAATGCATAGTAAATTTCTTTTACATGCAAAAGTTCATTAATTCTATAACCATGTTCCACTCAGGCATAGATCTCATCACTACGTTTATGTATTTATTAAATATATATATACCTTAAACTTAGAATGTCACAATTCACAAGTATAATATAATTTTTACTTTGATGACGAGGTCCATTGTATCCTATCATTGCCCTTTCCATTAAATCCAATGATCTGCAATATTGTTACCAACGAAAATGTTCTTGCTTGATTCTTCAAATACTAGCCATTATTTAACAAGAAAATTTAGCCTAAAGATTGTTGGAACTCTACTTCAAGAATAGTGGACAACAATGGCTGCACTAGATCAAAGAAAAAGAGGAAGAATTTATGGTTAGAACAAATGGAAGTTTTGTCTCCAAGTCACAAATAAACTTGCTTCCTTTTAGCCTAAATTCGCCCACTATACAGTGCAATTGTTTAGGCGAATTCCCTATGAGATAAAATGGAGATCATGTTATTTCACTATGCACTTTAGTGAACCAACAACCTGATACAAGGATAAGAAATGTCATTGGAAATATTCCTAGTATCTAGTGATTTAATTTTATACTAAAAGTATCCAAATGATCCATATTTATAGAGTTAGAGAAAACTCTTGAGGATTAGACGTAACCCTTATGGTTCTAGACATAACTTTTCGTTAATGTCTTTTCATATGGAGTTCATAGGCACAACCTATTAATTGTGTCTCTACAATATATTGAAAATACCCAATAGGCACAACATATTAATTGTGTCTCTACAATATATTGAAAATAACTCCAACATTCCTTCGAGGCGGTTCTTGTTCCCATGCTGCACCGCTCATTTGTGTTACAGGAAAACCATGGTGAATCTAATATACACACTCCATCGATCCATGGAATTGGATTTATATAATCAAATTAATTATAGGTTAGTTTGGCTAATGGCTAGTTCAAGAGCTGAATTACAGTTAAGAAATCACTTAACTTGTGTAACAAGTGAGTTTGATGATTCATGGCTTCCATGCTATGAATTTTGCAATTAGG